TTCTCTCACTAACTCTTTCTCTCACTAACTCTTTCTTTGACTAACTCTTTCCCTGATGAACTCTTTCTCTCGCTAACTCTTTCTTTGACTAACTCTTTCCCTGATGAACTCTTTCTCTAACTAACTCTTTCTCTCACTAACTCTTTCTCTCACTAACTCTTTCTTTGACTAACTCTTTCCCTGATGAACTCTTTCTTTGACTAACTCTTTCCCTGATGAACTCTTTCTCTAACTAACTCTTTCTCTCACTAACTCTTTCTTTGACTAACTCTTTCCCTGACATTCTAAAAGTCCGTAACACGGAAGTTTCTCCCCCTAAACTTCCTTTGAACAGGAACATACAGGAACTAGTTGAAAGCCTGTTAAAGCCTTGGTCAAGCCTAAAGCGATTCAAGGAACGGCTCTTCTAGCCTGGGCCAAGATGTGCCAAAATCACGTGCGTTGTTGACGAAATTTCAACAAGATGTTTTAATTATTATGTTTAGTTAAAGATGTTTCAAAACAAATTGATTTCAAATGCTGTTCAAAATGATTTCATGTACCCTCTGGTGAACTAACATAACTATGGAAATCACCATTTTCAATGGGTAAATCCACTATAAATATCTATAAATCACCATTTTCAATAGCTATTTTGACATAACCAGAGGGTATTAATCTATGGAATCGATGTCCAGTTCCATGTCAGGAGATGGCCATGTCCAGCGCTCGTGGCCGTTCCCAGTCTCGGGGCCGTGGCTACAGAGGTGGAAGTCGTGAGAGCTACGGCGGTCGCAGCAATAGCTATGGAGGCACCGAAAAAAATCCGTGGCAGGACTATTCATGGCTGGTGGATTTAGAAGTATAGAATGATTATAGAATATTATAGAATGTTATAGAATATTATAGAATGATTAAGATTTTTGGGACTATGGCTGGTGGGTTTAGAATGATTATAGAATGATTAAGCTTGATCTTATTGTGACTTATCGAAATCTGATGCTAGACGTTTGCTGGACGCTCACCCTCGGACTTCATCGCCAAGAACTTGTATGTACACAGAGTCACAGGTTGTTTTATTTGATAAGTTTCAGTGTTGATTTGTTGTTTCCACTTGTGTATGCCACTTGTAGAATGCACACAAGAACACAAGCAAAAAATCTACATAAGTTAGCATAAGTTCCTTTGCAGAAGTATGAAGATTATGATTCAGTATGATTCAGTATGATTCAGTATGATTCAGTATGATTCAGCATGATTCAGCATGATTCAGTATGATTCAGTATGATTCAGTATGATTCAGTATGATTCAGTATGATTCAGTATGATTCAGTATGATTCAGTATGATTCAGTATGATTCAGTATGATTCAGTATGATTCAGTATGATTCTTTTTTTTTCCGGATTTCCTTCAGATCGAAACATTGTTCGTGAGGCTATCGAAATTCCTCCCGAGGGTTCCGCGGCCGGGACTCGTGGGACCGCGACGACCGTGACAGCCGCGACAGCCGCGACTTCGGCCGGGACCGCGACTACGGGCGCCGCCCCCGCGACTTCCAACGGAGCTTCCGCGACGACGACGACGATCTCTTCGACGGCGGCTTCCGTAACGGCTTTCGCAGATCTCGGAGGCGAATTGTATTGTCGAATTATGTCGAATTATGTCGAATTGTCTGGGGATATGGAATCATTTGGAGTAGGATATGATGATATGATGGTGACGTGATGGGACACAAGACACAAGACATGCTCTTTGCCGAGTTAAGTATGCTGTTTTCTCAAGTCTCTTGTTTTTTTCTTCAAACAGCAAAGTCTCTTTCCCCCGGAAACACAGAGGTCTTTTGGGGCTCCATGACTCCAGATTTCGTTGGGTTCTGTTTCGATATTGGGCGCTGTTGGGATCTAGGATGTTAAAAGCCGAGCAAGAGCAGTGCACCCCTAGTCCGGTTGGATTTTGCTGGATTTCGTTCGATTTCATACATTTCATGAATCTGGTTGGCCCTTTCCGCCAGCACTGATGATGACTACAACTATGGCAATGCCAACGAGTACGGCAGAAGCAGGGGTTTCAGCAGCTACCCAAAAGCTGTGCCAATGAATGGCCCGTGAGCTGTGGCAGTCTCCAGAAATCCTGGAAGCTGCACAGAATCCTTTTTTTTTTCCGACAGCGCATGATTGCTCTCAAATCTTCAAGAAAACCTGGTGATTTTAGAAGATTGAAATGATATGACATGAATGTGGGACAGTACAGGATTGTGGGGTCTAAGACCTGTGCTATGTTGAGTCTTGTTCAGCTTGTGGCCATTTGGCTGTGCTGCAAGGACAATCCACTTAAGACTCGACCAAGTGTTACATAGATTGAAATCAGATGATATTTCGGCGATGATCTTTTAAGATGCAAGCGCCCATAGTGATGGTATTTGGGCGGCACGATTCACGAGGAACTTGTTGAAAAAGACTTCAGAGACCCTGTTGCACCAAGTGGCACTCTGTGTTCCTCTGTGACCGTGCGTCAGACTCAGGTATACGTGGTTTCAACTTTGGGCTTCTGGGTACAATATGTGTTGTCTAAATGCTGACTTTGGCCATGGAAAATCTTCTCGTGGTGTGCCAATGATCAACTCCATCGTGGATAGTTGCCACATTGCTACACGCATTGTACATCGTGCCACCGATCTTTTAGATGTCCGAAGTCCAACCACTAGATGGGAAAACATATCCTCCATGCTTGATGACTCCCTGCAAAAAAAGATATATAACACACACACAGACACACCCAGACAAATGAGGGCAAACTGCCGACTATATAGTGGAGGTGAAACAAGATGTGGTGATTTTTAGCTTCCTGACCTTGAGGCCTTCAGAGAAACCCCAAGCTGCAACGGTTGCGGAAGAACTGGGGGTTGGAAGAATCCATGGAGAGCCAAGATGTTTGCAAGATGGTTTCTTTGGTATCAGACCATAGAGACTGACATCACCACCCTCCTCCTCCTCCTCATCATCATCATCATCATCGATATACTTGGAAATCGCTTCTATATGATTTGGAGATAACTACATATGAATACTTCAATTTTTATATATTTTTATAATGACTTCATTCGCTCGCTCTTATCTTCTCCGACTCCCAAGCCGAACGATTCTCGAAAGCTGCGAAGCTGCGAAGCTCGCTGAGACGGTGCCACTGGTGCCACTGGTGCCACACCATTCGGCCGTCGAAAGAGTGGCGCGGCTGGTTCGGAACGCAACGTCTGAGTCGTCATCGGAGTCGAGTCCGGAGAACCCTTTTGAATCACAATGATTCAATGCACGGCACTCGCGGCAAGTGCTCTTTGGCTTACAGCTGCAGAAGCAGAAGCATAGGGTGATCCAGACTGAACAGCCACAGGAATCAGTACAGACTGAACGTTTCACTGGTCCAGACTGCAGCCCTGAATTTCTGTTCGATTTTCAAATCCATGTCCCGGCTCAGACATGATACATCATGGGACATCATGAGACATCATGGGAGATCATGAGACATTCTCATACATGATCCCAACCAGAGTTAACTGAACGCAAGACGCACAATTTCGCAAGTCGCTGATGATTCTGGAGTGGATAAGGCTGGCAGTTCGCAGATCAATCCACTGATGTCGACATGGCAGTCCAAGAGACCGGAGGTGCAAACACTTCAGAGATACATGGAGGATCCAAAGCTAAACCATGCTAAACCACCATATGAATCCATATGAACTTGGAGGAACCACAATTTTTTTTGACCCCCAAACTGAAGAGTGCACAAGATTGCACAAGTCTCGGAATATCTCCGTTGAGAGATCCAAACTGAAGAGTGATATGGGCGTTCTTTCTAATTGCTTTCTCCTTGCTTAGGGTTGATTTCCCCACCACTTTTGATTAAGGTCGCACTGAGACAGCTTGAGTTTGGATGGTGTTTCGTGATGTTTCATGGTTCTATGGATCCCAGTGGATTTATGTGGATTTGTATCTGAGGGGTGAACGCTGCATGGGTTTCATTACGGTTTTCCCGTCGTCGCCCTGCATCGATCCTTGGAATCCTTGATCCTTGGACGCAAGGAATTCTTGGTGCTCTTTGCGCACCACAACATGTACTTCAACATGAGGTGTACTGAGTGTACTGCAATAAAGTGATGTTTTCTTTGCAGATTCATCAGATTCTCTTCACTTTGAACTACTTTGAGCAGGTTTGAATGATTTGAGGACCTCAGAAGACAGATGCCATCTGATGCCATGCCATGATTGCCATGATTGCCATGTGTGAATTTCGATGCTTAGACATGGCATGTCCCGATGAGGATGTTGTCAACTGTGTTATGTTTTTGTTATGCATTGATTTTTGCATCAGGACACAACTCGGACAGAACGGTAGCAGTCCGTTTTGGTCCGTTTTGGTCCGTTCAGGTTCCAAGAGCTCGAAGCACTTGCAGCACTCCAAGGCATCACGCGAGAAGAGCTCTACGTGGAGGTGCCGTTAGGTCGGCTAGGTGAATGTTTGAAAGCAAAACATCACAGGAACAATATGGAAACATATGGAAACGTATGGAATATGGAATGATATTTCGGAATGACACAGATGTCGGAATGAGCAGCTTCAAAGCTGAAGCGTCCCACCGTCCCCGCAAGGAACCTCCCACTGCGCTGAATGCTTCTCCCTCGGTGCGGGTGCGTTGGCGCCAGGACTGAAATTATTCGGATAGTTCTTCTAATAGTTATATTATTTATTTATATTGATAGTTATTCAGTGATTATAGCTCATTATATATTGTTGTATCTTATTATATCTTATTATATGATATTATGATAGTTATGATGATAGTTATTATGACTATGATAGTTATTCTGATGACGGTTCTGTGAATCAAGGCGGATTGGAACATGCGGCTGCCATCTGCCAGCATTTGCTACCCCGTTCCTGTGTGCCAGGAGGACGTCCAGAAGATTTGTGAGAGGTCCGTGCTGGTGAAGGCACAGATTTTTGATTAGAAATTAGAAAAACTGTTTCCAACTTGATTGCAGATGCAAATTCTTGGTGGACATGTTCATATGTGGAAATCATCACATATATGAACATTATATGAACATTATGAACTCAGTGGTAAGTTCCAATGCGATTCCATGATCCTCGTTGATCCTCGTTGATCCTCGTTGATCCTCGTTGATTGTCGTGGCGACACAGTTGTTGCCTGTAGGCCGTGTTGGAAGTCTGGGCTCTCGGTTCCAGCTGCAGCGAGGCACGGCGATGGTGGCATGTGTAAGCTACGTCGTGCTGTCTGAATGGCCACACTGTCGTGCAACACACTGTGACACAAGTGTTGTGACACCTTTCTTTCATTCATTTCATTCAGACATTGAAGGACTTTGTTTTACGACTGTGACGGCTTTCTCCAGGCTGTTCGAAGTGCTACAGAACAAGGGGCTGATGTACGAAGGCGTCATTTCAAAGGGACCCCAAATCAGAACCATCAGAACCATCAGAACCCAACAGTGCACAACCCTTTGCTGCTGCGTGTGTCCATGTAAAACAGCGTGACTTGGATGATGTGAATGACAGGACGGTCATGCTTTGGTGACCCTTCCCTGTGAAATACTGTGCCGCGCCTGCCGCGCCGCGGCCATGTGGCTCCACTGGCAGTGCATGTTTCTTCTCGGTGGTTGTCCTGAACCATCTGAATTGATTCATCAGAGCCCAAATTTCGCAGCCCAAATAAGGCAGCTCGTCTTGAGGACATTTCTCGGACAGGACGTTTTCCAACTTAGAACACTTCGAGGGACACACTTTCACTTTCCGTCGAGGTGACGGTTCTGCCGTATCTGTGTATCATTAATCTTCATTTTGACTCAATCCATCTCACTCCACTTTGTCTCCTGGCTCGAAAAGAGGTGCTTCAAGATGCTTCAAGATGTCTTAATAAAATCTTAACAGATTCTTTGTTGTCTAGGGCTGGGCTGGATGTCTGATCTGAGAACCGAGTTCCTTTTTCCAAGGTGATGCAGATGCCAACTGCGGATGCCTCAGCACACTCTATGCACAGAGACACCAAAATCAAATTGTCTCATCATTCAGCATTGTGTTTTTTCACTTTACCATGGTCAACCACAGTCTTGTGAACTAAATGGCATTTAAATGCAAGAGATTGTCCTTGTGCATGGACAGGAATTTTGGTGTGGAGAAGGGACGCACACGCTGAGGCTGGTCTGAAGCTCCAACATCTGGAGAGCCGTGAGGCACGGTGACCACATGGTGACCACATGGTCACCACATGGTGACCAGCGTTGACCCATTTCGAGTCGAGCCGAGAAGTGCGAAGATCGTGGAGAATTTCGCTTCTCAGCTATTGGGCTATTAGTTTCTCATAGTTTCTCTATGGCTTTTCTATGTGTCTATGATATGAAACTGAAATGACACAGCTTCACATTTGTCATACATTTGTCATACTATGTCACTATGCTTCGTATTGCTTCGTATTGCTTCGTGAAGGAGGCGCCCTTGGACTCCAACGCGTGGGCATCTCAATACGTGAACACCTTTGAGGTTTGACACTATGAAGATTTGCCTTTAGATTCTTCGGTGTTGACACCAAAACAATATGAAACACGATACTGATATGAAAATTGTATGAAACACACTATGAAAATCTATGAAACAATATGACTTAGGGCCAATATAGAGTCTTTTGCAAGAGCTACGGTGAGCTGTTGCACATTGCACATTGCTGTTGCACATTGCATCGAGGTCAACATCGTGTGGCGAGTCAAGCGTCTCCAACGATTCCAAGGCTGGATTCAATGGCACCAACCGTGCGGGATTCAATGGAACCTCTAGGACTCTAGGAGTTCCCCTGATTGCAGCTCAAAATTGGAAGAAAAAATAGGTGCACACCAGTTTTCTTCCGATGGCATTGTGCACACAGATACTACAAGTACTTCTATCATATCTTCTATCCCGGCAGTCCAAACCTCTTAAGGTCAAACCTGGGTCGATTCGTGTGCTCACATATGTCACTGTCAAATAGAATTTGCAACCCAACCTCTCGGAGTTGATGGAATCAGATAGACTTTCAGCGAAAAATCAGTTGGAATACAAGAGATACCCTCTGGTAATTTAACATAGCTATTGAAAATGGCCATTTATAATGGATTTTCCCATTAAAAATGGTGATTTTCCATTGCTATGTTAAATAACCAGAGGGTACAAACCACCGACGCTTTCGGCCGAAACGGGCCGCGTTTCGGGCCTTTTCGGCCGGCAGGTTGGGAAGGAGACTCCCAAGGCCAATCGGTCGGATCGGTCGGGAACCCTGGCAGCTTGGGCATTTGCATTGCACATCGTAGCACATCGTTTTGAGCTATATATATATATATATTATTATTGTTATTATTGTTTATTTTTTTTTATTATTGTTCATTTACATTTTTTTCGCAAATTTTGCATGTTGAGAAGGGGAACTGATTTATATTGTTTCAGGCGCTGGAATTCAGGTTTGCCTTCGATGAGAATCTGTGGGATTTGCATAAATTGATCATGTCTCAACTATTGTAAGAACGGGAATAGATTCGTGCCACACGGTGATCCTTCGGGTGCTCAAGCCTTCTCCATGCCACTGCATAGCCCATAGCCCTCGCAGCATCAAATCATTGGGAATTCATTGGGATCTCACCTCTGGGCCGGGCTCCGGCATCTTGGAGGCGTGGACAGCGAGGACAGCGGTATGTGAACTCTCGGAACATGCCAAAGCTGGAAGCCCAATGGCAGCAGTCGACAGATGGATCGAAAACACTTTGGCGATCCGGTGGACTTAGATTTTCAATGATTTTCTTCATTTTCAATCTGAAAAAAAAGATAAAAAAGAACGATCTTTTAAGATACACAAGATATACACCGGATGTCTGACGTTTGCTTTTCGGACAGCTTCTTGCTATAGATGCTATGGCAGCAGATGTTTGAATCGAAGAGCCTCTTGTAACCTCTTGTATTGTTTGCCTGACAGCTGGAAGGTGTAGACATATGTTTACTATTTCGTTCAAAAAGATGCAAAGAACATTTAAAGGTAGCCATGTCGATACAGATGTAGTTAAAGAATGTTAAAGATATGTTACAACGCGGTTTACAGATGTTTCATGCAGTTGCTCGCATGCATCACTGCGAGGTCCTGTGCTCCACCGATACAAGTGGAGGCTGATATTGGAACAGTTTGCAGGTGTCAATGGTGTCAACCAGTAAAAAGAGCACTTTCTTTGCAGGGCTATAAGTTGAGTGGAACTTGAGAAGAAACCACAGCGGACTTGCATCTTGCATTATACATATACATTACATATACATTATATATATACGTATATATATAATATTATATATATATGTGTGTTCAATATTGCATAGTCCAGACATGTCACGTTGAGGGTCTACACGCAACGTGTTTCACGGAGGCGGATCGACGTGAGGAGAGGATTCCCTCGGTGGCTGAAGTCCTGATGCAGTTCACGGAAGGCAAAACGACGGTCGGGAGCTGAAGCGGTCGACACGACGAGCTGTATATGGTGAATATGGTGAACCAGTGAACCATATGGTGAATATGGTGAATATGTTGAATACGGTGAATATGGTTATAAACATTTATAAACCACATGTAAGTTATACTGTTATACATTGTTATACTATTAAATTAGCAAAACATTTGTGTCGTGTCATCAACAGATCTACCTCGTGTCGAGGTGATGGTCCGAAACATTCCAAGCTGTTCCTTGGAGTCGCACCGAAGTGGCTTAATGATTTTAATGCCTTCCATGCCTTCCATGCCTTCCTTGCAACTTCGGTTTATGGCTGAAATTGATGAGCTGTTCAAAATGTTGTTTGTTGATGTGAAGATTCTGAATGGAGCGTTGCACGAAGTGAAGTCAAAGGACAGGAGTGACAGTCGAGTGACAGTTGAGTCGACGATAACGATATCACCAGGCTACAACTGTGAGGAATTCCTCGGTGATGTCGTTGTCCCGAACTTCGACGAGAAATTCGTCCGGTGCTGAGCAAAAAACCACGCCACCAGCGGCCACCAGGCCGTGCATCAAAGCTGTGTCGCAGAAATCTGTCGAAATCAGGATTTCTTCTACTTGCCGATTGACTTCAAGACCAAGAGAAATCGTGGATATTGTTTCTGGGCTCATGCTGAGTTCACTTCGTTTCGGTTAGATATGCTCAGATTAGTGATTAAATTAGTGATTCAAAAGTTCTTGGGCTCAGCACAAACAGATCAACTTCGGAGGCAGTGCCGTGTCTGACATGTTGAGCTCTGCTCAGCGCATAGATTTGCATAGTATCAGAATTAGTGACATGTGCAAAGATGTGTTGGAAAGTCACAACATTTAAGACCTATGCAAGAAAACAAGCTTATGGCTTTTGTTTTCATGTTTTCACACAGGCAGACTCCAAGTAGACTCCAGTCAGAAAAGGGGCGTGATGCAGCTTGAGTCAATGGAGTCAGCTGAGGCTTCTTGAACTTCCACTCGAATGCGATCGCAAGGGACTTCGTTGGCACATTCCATGGCCAGAGCTTGACACGGTGGGACGGTGGGATAGCGGAAGGTTGAGGAGGGCCAGGAGGGCACAGACATTGTGGAGAGTTTTTCTGCCATATTTCCAGAAAACTTTCGGCTCAAGGGGTGTTTTCAAAGCAGAGAAGAATCGCTTCGACGACAGAGATAGACAGAGATATAATTGATATATATTGATATATGATGATATATGTATATGTATATATAGACAGAAACAGATAGTGTTCTGTTTCTGAAGCTTGGTGCATCCAGGCATCCCACCAAGAAGATCCTGGACATGCGTCCTGCTGACAACCAGGGCTTGAAGAACAACATGTCGGATACTCAGATGACTCAGATGACTCAGATGGCACATGGCAGTCGTGATTTGACAATTTTTGACATGCTCTGACATGGAGAAATCCCGAGATGCTTCCCAAATTCCTCAGAACATCAATATTTTTCGTTTCTTTTTTTGCGTTTGTTTGTTTGTTTGCATTATTTGTTGATTTTGTTGATTTTGTGCCAGGAAGAGTCTCAAGCGCCAGACTCTCAGATCTCAGGCTATGTCAATCCCTTGGTCTCCAGGCTCCTTTTTGCGGCTCCATTCCTCTGTTGGAACATGTTGGACTCGCCTCATTATCTGGTTGTCCCCCTAGTGTCCCCTACTTTGCTTGTAGAGTTCCTTGAGTTTGTGATGCATATGATTCATCACATGATGCACTTTCTTGATTTTATACTGTATGAGACTGTATGTATTTAATGATATTTCATGATATTTCATGATATTTCATGATATTTCATGCTTCCTTAGAGTTGTTTTTTTTTGCGAATGACATGTTTTTTGATGTGTGGTGATGTGTGGTGGGTTTCAGACGACCACTTGGCTTGGACCCGTAGGTGCCAAGCCTCGCGTCCGTGGCCTAGTCACCCTCAGCTTGGCTGCCTTTGGATCATTGGTTCTGTGAATATCTGTATGTTACTACTATTTACTACTGATATCTGCTGTATGTTACTGTTACAGTTTAATCAACTGTTGCAGTTTTTTTTTTGAAGTTCATTCCTGAAAGAAAACAATGAAAGCGGTGAAGTCGTAGTTGAAAGCACTTCGCCAATTTTTTCCGTGTCTCTGAGGTGAAGAACCAGTGGTTTCGGCCCATGGTCTTTGGCTTGACGGAGGACGACCAAAATAAGATCTGTGAATTTGACTAATCTTCGCCCCAAAAAGATTCAGCTCACCGGGTGGCCACAGGCTACCAAAAAAAAGGTCCCGCAAAGTTATTGCTAAGTCGAAATGTCGAATCCTTCGTCGACAGCCTGTCGTCCTTTGGCTCGCCAGAGACAAGATCCATCCTTGAAGGGTTGGCCCGTGACATGAGCGCTGAGCAGCTGCCTTAGCTTAGCATAGAGGGTAGTAACGTATAACTATGTATAACTCACCTTCTGTAGAAGCATGGATTCGAAACTCTCGTTGATGGTCCGGCTCATCGTTTCAAGACCTTTAGACTAGCGTTTTGTATCTGTCATTATTGAGCAAAAGCTGATGGTATTTCTAGATATCTATTTCTTGCATATTTTGCCCATTGCATGGCGCACATGTTCAGTTGTGTGAAACATGAGGGCTGTTTATCCAGCTTTGCTCAAGCTTTCACTGGGCCAACCCTGCTGAAATTGCGTCAGAGAGGAATCGTTGCCGAATTGTGGCCAAACGGGGCAGGGTTTCGAAATCACCGGCTGAATTTTGTTTGAACATCCATAAGTTGTGAAGCCGGGTGGGTCACCAAATGATGTGAATCTATGTGAATCTCTCAGTCAACGGAATGTGACGGATATTGATGATTCATGAGGATTCATCATGATTCATGTGTATGCCGATTTTCTCATCATTGCTTTCTACTTGCCACATTTCGGAAGCTGGTTTCGCGCCCTAAACAAATTGACAACGCCACAACGCCACAAGGCTGCAAGGCCGCATTTGTATGCATTTGTTCTGACATGTGGCATTTCCTGACACTCTGCCCATCTCTGCCCTGCTTTGTCACATTTGGCAGCTGCATCGCTGCATCGGCCATTGGGCAGATTGGCTGCACTAATTTGCTCTGCCTCTGACCTGTCAGGACCCTGTCAGGACCTGTCAGGATGCAATCAGGATGCAGAAATGCTCGCCCTTTATTTGGTGTGTTGATTCAGGCACAGCTTGCATGACGCACATAGTTTTATGGTGTTTTATGACATTCTATGAACATATATGTAAGATATTGTAAGATAATGTGCATATGCTACATGGATGTGTTTCTTCCATGGATGTGTTGACTCCATATGTCGATGACTGATATATGTCGAGATGTGCGACGTGTGGGCCATGTGGACCTGCGATCAGCGCGGCGATGTCGGGCAGCTGCATGCGTGCGCAGTCGAGCTCTCGTGAGCTGAGCGAAGTCGCTGAGAATCTGGTTGCGGAATGCCAAAATGCACCGACCCTTTCGAAAGTCGGATGAGAAGCACCGAAACCGGCCCAAACTGTTTCTAAAACAGATGTTCAGACGCAATCTCATGATCCCTTATGATTATGATCTGTCTGTTATGATTATTGTGATCTTATGATTATTAAAACATTTTGACATAACGGCACAATGACATAGCGGCTCATCTACAATCCAGGAATCCAATGAGGTACGTTTACAACTTGTTCTGATTGCCTTGACCTTGTCACATGTCAGTTTCTTGAACCTTATTGATATTACAGAGCCAAGTTGTTGCAAAACTTACACCATTTCTCCATCCGGCTGTCTTTGTGAACTTGGATGAACTGGCGGGTTGCCCATAGCCGAGTTAATTTTGGTTCGGTCTTTGAGGCTGTAAGGATCCATTGGTTACACTAAGTAAAATGAATCTCATGTGCGTTGCGGATGACGCCGGATGACACAGACAGCTGGAAGAATCTCTGTAAATTGTGGGGAGAGGATGCGAAGAAGGAGAGAACAGCTGGGTGCTTCATGTACTTTCGAAGGAGCTGCAAAGAAGGCTTGTTGACCTTGCCAGCACAGCCATTCTGAAAGCATGTGTTGGTATAGCGGTCAAGCTTGCCTTTCATTTTGCCGTTTGCAAACATTTCCTCATATAGGAGAATTGCTAGTGCTCACACAAATGGTCACATCTAAAGTGAACTTATTTTGAAATCTGAATTCTTGACAGTGTGAACTGCGAACGGCCCAAATTATAAGAAATTATTGGAAAACATCTTCCCTCTGCAACGGGCAAGGGCAATTGAACCTTGCGTTGAGCAAATTTGCCGTTGTGAGACAGCTGGGGATGACGGGCATTGTCAGCACATCTTTTGCAGGAAGAGCCGCGTTTCTACACTTCCTTCCTGCAACATTGCTGGGCTCTGGGTCTGGGATTGTCTTGGTTCCATGTGGAACTGTGATGCGAACCTGTTCCACCTTCTCTCTCTCTCTCTCTACATTTATATTGTTATACATTCATATGACTTATATATTCTTCTATGTATATTCACCATGTTTGATTTGCTTCAACTTCAATCGGAACCTTGACAAGACCACGATACTGGTAATACATTTAGGCTTGCTGTTGATGCACCTGGGGCTTCTCCTGTCATTCCCGAAGCTTCAATCATTGGCCATTGATGTTTCATAATCGACAATGGATCCAAATCGACAAATCGATCTTCACAGTCCAAATCCATCTTCATCAATCCTCAGACGAAGAGGTCTCATGGTGACATCGAACAGAGCCTCTGAATTTGGCCTGACTGTGAGCAGTGGGCACATGTATTTACACTGACAGGAAAGTTGTCAGGTACAGTATGACAGTGCAGATAGGTACATCTACCTGGAATCTGCGCTGGATGCAGAGATGAACAGCGGAACATCGGGCTGCTCAAACCCTGGCAGTCTGTGGGTTTGCAGTGTACACCATGACCAAGAAACGTCAGACCATGAGATGTGGGTTGGAAATTTGAGACACTTCGGTCACTTCAAGGGCCTATTGCAAGTATGATTGGCAGGTGTTGTGAGACCAGAATGGCATTTGAGACGGGAAACACAGTGGAATGATGGTGGTCTGCAAGTTATTCATTTTACTCACATTCGAAAATCGGTGTCGAGTCTGTTTCTACGTGCATTTTTGGTTCCCCGGGTCCTGGGTCCTGTAGCTTCGCCATTGATGATAAACTTCATGATGTTTCCCACATCGACGGTGTACGTCAGTGCACACCTGCAAACCTCGCTAAATGGAGCGAGCGAAGCCAAGATCCTTGGGTCCGCCAAGCTCCTGAAGATTCCCACTTGCAGAACTCAACCGGAATAGCAAAGATGACATGTTTTTTCCTTTTTTTTTAAACATGTATTTTCAATTATTTTCATATTTTCGTCATGTTCCTTTTATATCTCCTTCATAATTCGTTCATATTTCTTTCATAATTCTTTCTTTCATATCTGCGTCATCATTCTTTCATATGGTTTTCATATTTCTTACATATTAATTCTTTTGCAGTTTTCTTTATTTTTTAAATTTCTTGCATGGTTTCTTTTTAAATATTCATATGTCTTTCATGGGCTTGCATTGTTCTTTCATATGTCTTTCAATCTTCTTTCACATTGATGTCATAGTGCTTAAACAAAAACATTCATATGCAATATGTTTATGATCTTTTCATGTGCTTTCTATCACTCTTGCTTTATTTCAACACTGTCAAATGCGCTTGTTCTGGTGGAACTGATGAAGAACACCGTTTGACCAAGACTTCCTGGTGACATCTTCGGAGCAAAGGATCTTTCCGCTGGTGTATTTTTATTGCTGGAATGATTGGAATGTGCCGTAAAAACACTGCGTTGTGGTTCAGCTTTCCTTCTTATGCTGATCCCTCGTGAGAATTCAGAAGCAGGGAGGTGTGATAACAACTCCGCAAGACACCCGAAGTCACAGAACAGAGAGAAAAGGTGCCCGGTTTCCTGCAACCTTGTCATGTCGAGTGTCGAGTGTCGAGTCATTTGTCGCCTCACGATGACGTCGCACGTCGTATCACGTCGTGATTCACGTCGCACGATTCCGTGGAAGGCAGCGGCGGAAGTTTTTGGCACCTCCGATGAAGCTGCAGCTACGCCCGGAGCCTGGGGGCCACTGGGGGCCACTGGGGGCCACTGGGGGCCACTGGGGGCCACTGGGGGCCACTGGGGGCCACTGGGGGCCACTGGGGGCCACTGGGGGCCACTGGGGGCTGTGACAGTGACGCTGTCGTGACGCTAGTGACGCTGTCTGGGGCTATGTTGGCCTTGTGCCGGCAAAACCAATGAGTTGGAGCGTGCTGGAAACGCAAATTGTGATACAATCCATTCTATTCCAACCCCTCAGTGAATACGTTTGTCTCTTTGACAAACGTCATTGTAGGAAGGATGCGATCTCAATGAAGCTAATCACCATGGCCCAAACTAAATTAAAACCTTGTCATTACAGGCTTTTCCAACGCGGTGCAAGGCTGAGGATGCAGACAGGAGATATCGTTGAAAGGTGACTTTCTGACATTGGACAGCTGCAGCTTAGCATTGGACATTGCTTGGTCGATGCAAGGTGTGGAGGCTTTTGGTCGGACTTTGAATATGGAGGCTGTGGGCCGTGAGATGTCATGGGATGGATACAGATGGCCACGATGGCATTCGTGCAAGTGGTTTCTGATTTTGGGCGATTTTGGGCGTTGAATCTGTTGAATGTTGCAACTCGTATTGCAAATCCTTGTGACGTGACATGGGCGCTGGCATTTCAACTTCAAGCCGACTCCATTTCAGATGACTCGATTCAAGTGATGGGCGGGAGCCCTCTCCAACTTGTTGCTGCCCTAGCGCGGCTCTCAGAATCTCCCGGAATTTCCTGTGCCATCACATGAGGAATCCAAGTGACAATTCGGGACATAGAGGGAAGAGTTCGGTGAGTGCACGGCGAGCACACTGGGTGACTCAGTAGACTCAGTAGACTCAACTGGGTAGAGTGTAATCTACAGCAAGGCAAGGCAAAGTCAAATTGCGTCAAGCAAAATCCCTGGCAACATCTTCAACATCTTACAACATTTCTTCAACGTGCATCGTTTCTGTATCGTTTCTGTATCGATTTTGCGATGGTCGCTGAGGTCGTGATCCATGGAGCGGCAGCGGCATTGAGACAGAGCGGAGCTGGTCCCATGGATGTTCAGGCGCAGCGAGTGCAGCGAGCGCAGCGAGCGCAGCGACATCGATTTGGTGGCCTTCTAACCAGTCATGACTGAGTCATGACAGCTACGATTTTCATCAAATTTCCTTTGTAAAATTTATTGGGTTTTGGATCTTTTGGTGATGTTTGATGGATTTTGATGGTGAGAATCTGAAGTGCAATCGCTGATTTGGGTTTTGCCATGTTCTGCCATCTTTTGGTTTCGGGGAACCTGTCACCCAGGCATATGTTGACGAGCGACGCTTCTATTGTGACATGGCTGGGGGACGAGCCGACCTGGACCGGGCAAAAGATCCATAGTGATCATCATAGTGCACATAGTAATGTCATATAATGTCATGTAATGTCTAGTACTGAAATGTACTGAATGGGTACGGCAAAAGGAGGCCACAAAAAAGGGCTTTCTGCAGGCTTTCGGAAATTGCGAAAGGCTGAAGATGAAAGCCGCGAAATTTGCACTTCGGGGCTGGATGGTTCCGTTCTGTTCCGTTCCGTGTGTTTCTGGGTCTCAGGTGCGAAAGCTGAGGGCTGTCCATTGCTGTCGCACACGTGGGGGCAAGTCATTGCAACCGATCCTTCGACAGGGAAAACTGCGCCCTGGCAGAGGTTTCGGACAGAGGAACGACTTGGCAGAAAAACAGAAACACCAAAAGAAGGCCCAGAAGGGCTAGACTAGCGGCTAGAAGCCCTCTTCAAAGCCCAAACAAACATGCCAGAACCCAGCCAAACTTGTTGACTTGACGTAAGCATCAAGGTTATCACATTGGTTTGCATTGTGTGCAGTGCTTGTTTCGAGGACGTTTCCAACGGGGGTGATCTGTGACATGTAAAACATTGCAAAGCTACCGAGTCAGGCGACCTTTCGTGATGTTATGGCTGGACCTGGCTGGGCAAAGGATGCTGCGTGGAGAATGTGGATGTATTGTGAATGTTTCCAGTCTCTGCTAGTGGCAGCACTTCCAGACGAGAATGAATCACTGCTCGCGGTTCAAAACCAGAATTTGGAGCGTCATTAGCAGTATGTTAGCAGTCATTTAATGATATTTAATGCAGTTGTAGGCTGTCTTCATCCTGAATGCTTTACACATGGCTTTTGATTCACTGAGTGCGCATGTCTCGGACATTTTGGAAGTAGTTTCTCATAGTTTCTCAACAGGAGTGGAACTGGGGGCATCACCCGGAACACGTAACGCACGCGACTGGGCCGATGACTCCGGATGTGGAAGTGTCTCAGCAGAAAGTTTAAAAAATGTGAGGCATTGGAAGCATTGGAAGGTTTCTGTCCATTGCTCTGCATTTTGGGGCTAAGTTCAAGACCATGATAAGCAATGATTCTCTCCATGAGATTTCTCCGGTGCCTCAGCACGTTTGTATAATCATGCTTTTGGCTTTCTTGCTGCCCTCTCAGTTTCCTGGTGTTGAAACGTTGTCGGGAAGATATTTAATGAATTTTAATGATATTTATATCTTTTCCATACTTGATACTTCAATTCGTCAGTGGATCACGATGATCACGGCATCACGGCGCAGACCTGTACTTTTCGTGTCGGTCCAAGGAAATCATGCAGGATCCTTGGCTGCAGTTTAGAGGAGAAACCGAGCAGGACAGATTCGGACAGATGTTCATTGTGGGGGCAAACTCGCCCAGCATTCCACGACCAAGCAGTCATCTGCAGTCAACGTTGTCCCTGAGGAGATGAAGCTCTATAACCCAAAGGCCTTGAATTTGGACAGGCGCGCAATGCTACGGCGGCGCTGCCCAGCCAGTCATTCCCATGGCTTTCCAGTGTTTCTGCATGTTACTGCATGTTACTGCGGAAAACCGCTTTCCAAGTGCAGGTTTTATATGTCCATCGGAGTGAAGGGGGCATTGGCTAACAACCAAACCACAGATGACAAGATTAAGGACCGCTGCGGAACATGGGACAGATCCATACGAATCATTGCAAATCCAATTGATGGAGTATCGTATGTCTCTGTATACAGTCGGATATTCATTGATTCTTTGAGTGAATGACAGGCTGCTTGCGGCAACATTAGAGTCAATAAGTAGGTGTTTCAGTTTCAGTATCTCAGCAAGTGTAGGAATACATAAAATATCATACGCATCTAAAATATTCGTATATATAAATAAATAAATATAAATATATATACGTATAAATCTTTGCCAATCGCTGGAGTGAGTCTTTTGGTGGCTTTTGGCAAGTGGATCATAGTGGATCAGTCAGACCGGCAGCCTTTCCACCAGGAGATGTGGGGAATTGAGCCGGTTCCATGGCACAATGGCACAATGTTTTGGATTGATATGGATTGTGGCTGATTCCTTGCTCCCAACTTGCGCGGATTTTTGCAGCGCGTTGGAAAAGGTAAGCTAACAGTTCAGGTGCTTACTTTGTGGTTTGCAGATGTTTGCAGATGTTTGAACTACATGTTTGCAGTCAATCTGGATCTCACTGGATCTCTCATACTGGTATCTCTTTTTCCCAAACAGCGTGTCCACAGGCATAGGCATCGCTTCGGGATACGTCGGGTGCATCGCTTCGGGCTACGCCTCATGCATCGCTTCGGGATACCTCAACATCAACATCATCATCATCATCATCATCATCACCATCGTCGTCCAGAATAGACATATTCCATCATCATCATTATCATCATCATGTTAATCATCATGAGGGGTCGGAGGGCGGGTACCCCATCATCATGTTGTCCACTCATGGTTGACCATCATGTTGACCACCAAGTGAGCATCACCATCATCATGATCATCATGATCATCATCATCATCATCATGATCAGCAGCATCATGATCATCATCATCATCATCATGATCATCATCATCTTCTTCATGATCATCCTTGTTATAAGCATTTTCTTCTTCCGAGTATTATTCATCTTCATCTTCCTCATGTTCATGGTGATGCTAGCGTCAGGAGAAGATGTGACAGCGTGAGATCATGTTGGTGTGCAGGTGCAAGAGAGGATCGGCTCATGGTGGAATGATGGAGTCAAGTAATGGCTGAGTCAAGGAATGATGTAAGTAGAATGACCCCTCCCCCCCAAACAAACCCTAAATGGCTGAGTCAAGGAATGATGAAAGTAGAATGATCCCTCCCCCCCAACCAAACCCTAAATGGCTGAGTCAAGTAATGATCTAAGTAGAATGACCCCTCCCCCCCGAAACAAACCCTAAATGGCTGAGTCAAGGAATGATGTAAGTAGAATGATCCCTCCCCCCCAACCAAACCCTAAATGGCTGAGTCAAGGAATGATGTAAGTAGAATGACCCCTCTCTCCCGAAACAAACCCTAAATGGCTGAGTCAAGTAGTGATGCAAGTAGAGTGACCCCTTCCCCCCCAAACAAACCCTAAATGGCTGAGTCAAGGAATGATGTAAGTAGAATGACCCCCCCAACCATACCCTAAATGGCTGAGTCAAGTAATGATGTAGGTAGAATGACCCCTCCCCCCAAACAAACCCTAAATGCCTGAGTCAAGGAGTGATGTAAGTAGAATGACCCCTTCCCCCCAAACAAACCCTAAATGGCTGAGTCAAGGAATGATGTAAGTAGAATGACTCCCCCCCGAACAAAACCCTAAATGGCTGAGTCAAGTAATGATCTAAGTAGAATGACCCCTCCCAACCAAACCCTAAATGGCTGAGTGAAGTAATGATGTAAGTAGAATGGCCCCTCCCCCCCAAACAAGCCCTAAATGGCTGAGTCAAGTAATGATGTAAGTAGAATGACCCCTCCCCCCCAACCAAACCCTAAATGGCTCAATCAAGCAATGGTGTAAGTAGAATGACCCCTCCCCCCCAAACAAACCCTAAATGGCTGAGTCAAGTAATGATGTAAGTAGAATGACCCCTCCCCCCCGAACCAAACCGTAAATGGCTGAGTCAAGTAATGGTGTAAGTAGAATGACCCCTCCCCCCGAACCATAACCTAAATGGCTGAGTCAAGTAATGATGATAAGAACGATGTTTGCCGTGTTGCCCAAAGTGATGAAATCCGTGTTGCCCAAAGTGAGCGTCCAAAGTGTGAGGACTGTGTGATTTCTGGATGTTGCCTGAAGTGATGCGTTTGGTGTTGCCCTAAGTGAAGCGGGTGCCTATGTCCACACTGAGGGGTTCTTACGATGAGTGTAAAGGCCGGTGCTTGATCAGGGTGCTCCAGCTGGGCCGCGGCATTTTTCCTGCAAATTTCTGTATAAAGTGGCTCTTGTGAAATCTCCGAATGCATCTCGACAGTGCACGCTCGCGCTAAGTGCGGGCCGCGGTTTGGTCTGCGGCATTTTACCTGTAAATTTCCGTATAAAGTGGCTCTTCTGAAATGTTGACTTGCGCTTCGACTGCGCAGGCTCGCACAAAGTCTGCGCCTCGGTTTCCAGGCACTTTTCCTGTAAATTTCCATATAAAGTGGCTGTTGTGATATGTCCAAGTGCATTTCGATTGTGCAGGCTCGCACAAAAGTGTGCGCCTAGGGGCGCTTTTCCTGTAAATTTCCGTGCTGAAGTGGCTCTTGTGACATGTTGACGTGCATTTCGACTGCGCAGGCTCGCACACAGTGTGGTCCTAGGTCTTGGGATCGGTCCTCCTCCTCCACATCATCATCTTCCTGCTCAACATCATCCTTCTCAACATTATCATCTTCCACCTCATCTTCCGCAACATCATCATCCTCAACTTCATCATCCTCCACCTCATCTTCCGCAACATTATCATTCTTTTCATCCTCCTCCTCAACATCATGATCTTCCTCCTTCTCAACATCATCATCCTGCACCTTGTCCTCCTCCACTTCATCCTCCTCAACATCATCATCCTCATCCTCATCCTGCTCAACATCATCATCCTCATCCTCATCCTCCTCAACATCATCATCCTTATCCTCATCCTCCTGAACATCATCATCCTCCACATCATCCTCCTGCACCTCACCATGCTTAACATCATTATCCTCAACATCAACACCATCCTCCTCCTCCTCCTCATCATCATCATCATCATCATCATCATCGTCGTCATCATCATCATCATCATCACATCATCACCACCATCATCATCATCATCATGAGCATCATCATCATCATCATCATCATCATCATCATCATCATCATGAGCACCATCATCACCATCATCATCATCATCATCATCATGAGCACCATCATCACCATCATCATCATCATCATCCTCGTCTTCATCATCATCCCATCATCCTTGTCAGCATCACCATCCTCCACCTTATCATCCTTCACTTCCTCTTCCGCATTTTCATCGTCATCCTCTTCCTCAACATGATCATCCTCAACATCATCATCCTCCACCTCATCTTCCGCAACATCATCATCCTCAACATCATCATCCTCCACCTCATCTTCCCCAACATCATCCTCCTCCACCTCATCTTCCGCAACATTAACATAGACCCGGGCAAGCCGGCGGCGGAAGTTTCCCAAACATAAATGACCTATAGTTCAGAGACACCCTGTCCCGACCGTGTCCTTCCCTCGACACTCCACATCTCACACTGCACACTGCACTCTTCGCACTCCAAACTTCAAACTTCACACTCCACACTTCACACTCCACACTTCTCACTTCTCACTGCTTCCTTCACACTCCAAACCTCACCCTTCACACTTCACACTGCACACTTCACACTTCACAGTCCACACTTCACACTTCACACTTCACAGTCCACACTTCACACTTCACAGTCCACACTTCTCACTTCGCACTTCACACTTCACACTTCACACTCCACATTTCACACTTCTCACTTCTCACTGCTTCCTTCACACTCCAAACTTCACACTTCACACTTCACACTTCTCACTTTGCACTTCACACTCCACACTTCACAGTCCACACTTCACACTTCTCACTTCACACTTCTCACTTCTCACTGCTTCCTTCACACTCCAAACTTCACACTTCGCACTTCACACTCCACACTTCACAGTCCACACTTCACACTTCTCACTTCTCACTGCTTCCTTCACACTCCAAACTTCACACTCCAAACTTCACACTTCTCACTTCGCACTTCACACTCCACACTTCACAGTCCACACTTCACACTTCTCACTTCTCACTGCTTCCTTCCCACTCCAAACTTCACACTCCAAACTTCACACTTCACACTTCTCACTTTGCACTTCACACTTCAAAGTCCACACTTCACGCTTCTGTCTGCTTCCTTCACACTCCAAACCTCACACTTCACACTTCACACTGCGCTCTTCGCACTCCACACTGCACAGTCCACACTTCTCACTTCACACTTCTCACTTCTCACTGCTTCCTTCACACTCCAAACTTCACACTTCTCACTTCGCACTTCACACTCCACACTTCACAGTCCACACTTCACACTTCTCACTTCTCACTGCTGCCTTCACACTCCAAACCTCACACTTCACACTTCACACTCACTCTTCGCACTCCAAACTTAAACTTCACACTTCACACTTCTCACTTCCCACTGCTTCCTTCACACTGCACACTTCACACTGCACTCTTCACACTCCACACTTCACACTGCACTCTTTGCACTCCAAACTTCACACTCCACACTTCACAGTCCACACTTCACTTTCTAGTCATTTATTCTTGGGACACCAATGCCGTCACTTCTACTTCCCACTGTCATTACCTAAAAAGGGGCCAGTCCAAACAGTTACAATACTCATTGTCACTACAGTTACAGCCACAACGGTCATTGTCAAAGTAGTCTTTGTCATAGTATCTATGGTCACAGTAGTCATGATCAGAATAGTCACGGTCACAGTCACATCAGGTATGGTCACACTAATCAAAGTCACGGTGGTCATTTTATGGAGGTTATCAACATACAACCGCACGAACGATGGAATTACTTCACACTCCACACTTCACACTTGTCACTTCTCACTGCTTCCTTCACACTCCAAACTTAAACTTCACACTCCACACTTCACACTTCTCACTTCCCACTGCTTCCTTCACACTGCAAACTTCACACTGCACTCTTCACGCCCCACACTTCACTGCTCTAAACCTACGTGCAACGGCGTCGGAAAATTGTAGCTCCAAAACCGGATCTCGACGCCAGAGCGAAAAAAAGACGATTTTGAGGCACTTTTTAAAAGGATTTTTAAAAGGAAAATTACTAGCGCCAAAATGGAGGAAATCTGCTGACAAATCACTGTCGCAGCCTTCATGCAGCCACTCCAATACGATTTACGAAGTCCAGCTGCAAAAGACAATAGTATTACGCATGCAGCCAC